CGGTGGAGGGCCCGGGCCCTCCTCCTTAGGCCTGGTCCCAAAACCTAGGACCGGTCCTCCGAAGGACCGGTCCTAGGCCTGGTTTTTGGAGCTGGGCTTTTGGGCCCAGTCCCAAATGCCCAGCTCTAGTGGGTATAATACTTAATTGCTATTCTTTTTTAATATTATTATTATTTGAATTATTTTTAAACCCCTTCCATTTGAGATTTTGTTACTCCAACCACAAAAAAAATTTAAAAATTAACCAAAATACCCCCAACCACCCAAGACGACTGACAGCCGCGACCAGCCAGATTTAGATGTGGTCTTGGATAATTTTGTTGAAGTATAAGGGTAATAATGTCTTAAAAATCTTATGTATAAGGCTAAAATTGTGCATAAAAATTCTTGTAAATTGTCTAGATAATAAAGACATTACTGTCCTAAAATTGTATTAATAAGGGATAAAATTATAATAAAAATAAGATTACCAAATAATTTTAGAATATCTAAGAAAATGATGGTATTCAAATTTACCATCTATATAACTAACCATGATTACTATTAGAGGTGGAACATTTGGGCCGGGTTAGGTGGGCCAACCCTAACCCGGCCTGTAAAGAAGTGGGTTGAACTCGGACCGTCATTTGACCCTAACCCGACAGCAACCCCCGGGCGGGCCAGGTTGCACAATGGCAACCCACAACCCGGCGGGTTGCTATTTTGTCTCTTTTGCAAGAGACCCGCCAACCTGCCGGGTTGGCTGTTGTCAACCCGGCGGGTTGACTGTTATAGAATAACGACCAACCCGTCGGGTTGCAACAGCCAACCCGCCGGGTTGGCCCAAAAAGATAAAAAAAATAAAAATTTATTTTATTTTTCAAATTACCCCTTTACCCTTGAAATATAGCCGTTTTATAGCCGTTGGAGGGGTCTTTTTCGTCATTTTTCTTTCCCATTTTTTCCTATAAATTGGCCCTAAACTCTCACATTTTTCTCACAACTCAAATTCTCTCATTCTCTCATATTCTCTAATCTCTAGTCTCTCAATTATTCATTTATTCTCTTTTAGATGTATATACTCCAGATCTCAATTATTGATTTGCATCTACTCTAACACCACCACAATGAAGTGACTTAATTGATTTTGTCAAGTAAAAAATGTGACTGAATTCTGAATTATTCATCCTGAATAATTGTCATCACCTGAATTATTCTCTGGTCTCTCAAATTCAACTCTCAACTTGTAGCTTGGTGATCTCCAAGATCCTGTTTGATTTTTTTCGGAATCTTTAGTCATGTTCAATTCCAGAACTGACATCTTTAATTACTTAATAAAATGTACACCAAAATTCATATAATATAGGCTCTATAGTATTGTAGTTATCATATACACAGTAACATGAAATATATAATTCTTTTAAAATTTTACTATATACAATATTTGAGCCCCTTAAGCTTCTAAAGCCTGTCCATTGAGAGAATTGTGGATTTTAATTTACTGCTGGTTATTTCCTAGCGACTGTTTCCTTAAGAAATGGAGTCAATGTTTCAAAGATGGATCATAATTGAAAGAGTATTTGACCGGGGCAATTGGTAGTAAAGACAAAGGACTAAATGCATGGTGTTTATGTTTATTGTCTTGTGAATAAAAAGAAAAATTAATGGAGACAACTTCTTATCGATCTCCTCTATCGATATCAATGCAAAGCAACAAAACATTAACGATATCGAAGAAGACAAAATGGTTTTCATGAAATCAACCTTCTCATGCAAACATTATAAATAGACATAGATATATATCATATATCATATACAAGAAGAGATTAAAGTATGTATGTGTCACTTAGTGGACGATATTGGATTCCAGAAATTGCTTTGACGAAACCATTATCATTTATCAACATGATTTCCCCCAATTAAGCCAGCTCTCACTCTAATATACAGTCCACATTGGTCAAACTGAAATGACGGGATCAAATCAAAAATAGTTTGCAATATTAAGTGTAATTACTTTCCATTGTTGAAAGTAATTAAGCTAGCGTTGTCATCAATCAAATGCTTTTTTTTTTTTTTTTTTTTTTTTGAAAAAAGTGGTTGGAGAAAGTATATGAAAGATAAATAAGCACTACAATAAAATGTTGAATCAATGAAATTGATGATAATGTTCTCATGCAACATTTCCATATATAATATAAGAAGATTAATGAGTCCCTTTTGGTTTTGGGCATGGAAAGTAAAAGTTTAAAAGGCTTAAAAATAAAGCAACCCACTATGTCTCTCTCTCTCTCTCGCATCAAAAGTGAATCACGCATAGGTTATCTAATTTTCCTTTTGAGAGAGTAGGTAGGGACCAATCTTCCCTGTAGAGGAAAAGAGAGAGCAAATAATGCCCAAACCCAAGAATTAATTAAGCATATCTTGATATTTAAGAGATTGTTTGATGAAAATAATAGAAAATGTCGCCATCAAATAGTGAGCACTCAACACTGAACCTCCACCAAGCCAAAATAATTTAAAGTGTCGATCGTCCATTGTTAATGATTGATTCATAATTGGCGAATTAGATAGGAAAGAGAGAAGAGACAAGTACTTGTTCAAACCCTTGTTCAATAAAACATTCAAAGAAGGCCCATCTTCCATTTTAGAATTGTCACTAACTAGGATGGCCCAATTATTAAAGTAGAAAAAGCAAATAATTATATTGATGAAAAGTGATGTTTGTTATCTACTACCATAGTGCCCAAATTGATGTTCATCACATTATTTAATTAGATTTCATGCCATCAACACATACATATAACCTGCCTTCTATAACTAGCTAGATGTAGGCAGATATTTACAAACAATACCATGTTCTTAATATTATATATAAGTGGGTTCGACGGATCTAATAACAAATCAATCATCACTAACCCTAGTCATTTGAAACAAATATTGATATAATTATTTGTATTTTTTCACGTAGTGAATTTGAATGGTTCACAAGTTTCTTTTATAATTTGTATGGGTAAAAAATCATAACATGCCTATACACGAATCGTAATGGGCCTTACCAAGCTCAAACACGAAACAAACAACGCATGACTCTATGCCATAGCTCAATCCCCAAGCTATGACCCAAATCTCGATTGGGCCTACGTCTTTCTACAAGTCAACCCATTTCATAAGATTGGGTTACTTTACGATTAAGGTTACTCCATGAACCAAGCCTTATCACGGGCTCATTAGCTCCTTCCCACTTCATAATAGGGTTTGGAGTCCTATCAACTTCTTAATTCATCCAAGTTTCATAATCTTATATGAATTTGTATTATAAAGGCAAGTAACACAAGTTCCTTCCTAATTTAAACTCTTACTCTAAATAGAAGTCATAGTCTTACTAGGATTCAAGTCTCTTTGGCTCACTAAATAAACAAAAGCTTGCCCTCTCATTATCCATTAAATCCCAATATCACCTACTTGCTCCTGAAGTTTTTGCTCTCAAGAACTATTGCCTCTCTTTGTTGTAGTTCTAAGCTCCGGTAATCTTCATTTTCTTAGCCCTCACTAAATTATTTTTCAAGTCTTACTGATTTGGGTGTCAGAGTGCCTATTGCAAACACCATATCAGTGTCCCCTGTGATCATCGTGCTTATCTTTTTGCACCACATTGGTGTTCCCCGTGATCTTTGTGCTTATCTTTTTGTATGTGCAGATCTATATATCATTAGTGATCTCAACCTCACAAAATCATTCCTTTCATAACCGTAGATTTTATTGTCTATAAAATTCTAAACACAAGTTTAGAATTCACAAATGTATCACATCGACCTCCTAAACCTTTTGTCTCCTAGTGTTAGCAAAGAGATTTGAATTCGTATGTGATTGTGGGCTGCATTATGCACTTACGAGTGTCCAATTTCGGTGCAAACTAAAGCCCAACAATCAGCCTATTTGGTGATATAGAATTCAACTCGTTAATTGGAAGGACATTTTGAGATGATATAATAATTCATTCCGGTATTTATTTTTTTCTAAAATCAGAAATTAAAATTTTGTACATTCTACATGTGCAACCAGCTAAAGATATGTACGCATCCCACGATTAACTAGTTGCATGTGGAATGCACACAAAACATCTCTCCTAAGATTTATTTATTTAGCATAGCAATATAATTGCATAAATTGTTAAACATAAATTTAAAGAACACTTTTAACAGTATTTTTAAACTCACTTTTAACATGAGTTAGTATTTTACTTTTAGACATTATTTATTATTTCCACTTAATACAATATTTATATAGAGATATTTTTGGAGAATAGAAAGTGATAAGAGAAACATTTTTGTAAATTAATTGAGAAGAATTGCTATGATTTCAAAACTTTAATAAAGGTAATTCCATGATTAAGCCGGCAGAAGGTTAAGGAAAAATGAATGAGCAGACGACGCCGTTTCTAATTCAGATGTTTACATGGGTATGGGCTGTATGACCCAATGGACTGAGCCAGACTCAATTCGGTTGCATTACCCACGACTAGGAATCGTATTTAGCAGGTTTTGGATCCAACATTATAAACAGACCCGAAAGTTGAGTTTTTTTATTAGAGAAAACTTAAACCTAACCTAAATAAATCTGATAAAGAGATAAATCACTGTCAATAGAAATGTAGTACTTTTTATGTATTAATAAAATTTGCTCAATTTAATATTTTTTACGCATTAAACGGATATGTCGATCCGGGATTTAATACATGGGTCTTAACCCGGAGCTACGTCTATTTTTTCAATATCTGGACCGGGCCAGGGTTGTACATCTACTTTCTCTTTAGTCTTTACAGAGGTTTAATGAACCGCGCAAATTAGCTCATTCCAGTCAAATCGAATCCATTCCCCTATTCCTAATCTCTCATTTTCTTTTTCCTTTCAATTAAAAATAAAATAAAATCCTTAATTTTCTTGAATTCCGAATCCCTATCACCGACACCAACCATCATCTCATCGCCACAGAGCTCCTCACCGCGCACGGTCACAGTTATCACCGGCCATCTCTTCAATCCTTATCACTGCCGACCACCCCGTGCCCACCACAACTGCCACTCTGCACGGCCATCTCTTTGCCTCCACAAGACGTAACCAGTCACCTCCAAGCGACCGGCGACGCGACATCGTCATTAGCTGCCTCAGATCATCATGTCAGGTTCTACGCATTCTAGTACTCTTCCTTCTCTTTACTTACTCACTTATATAATTTAACTATTATCCTGTGATTCATTTCCTCTTTCGTATGCTTCAATATCTTATGTTACAAATTTCAAGAAGATCTACCAACTCAACTTAAAATGAAATTTTAATCTTCAGTTAATAAGTTATTAATGTTCTTTTTAGTTAATTTTAATCTTCTTTAGCTTTATTTCTTCATGTAGATGCATCTGTTATTGATTGAGAAATTGAAAATATAATTCATATTATTTTGAGGAAGGATTTTCATTATAGGAAAGTAATTTGTTCTTAAGTGTTACTGCACCCAATTCAGTATTGTTTGTAATTCTTAATTTTTGATTCCTCAGGGCGGTGAATCGAAACTCTAGCTAATTGCAGTATGAAATGTTAAGTATATATGTATAATGGATTCTAAGGCCTTGGCAAAATCAAAGAGAGCTCACTCTCAACACCATAAAAATAAGTCTCATCCAAATCAGAAGTCTAAAGCCCCATCAGCCAGTTCTGACAATGCTGGAAGCACAACTAAACCAACGGGAAAGCAGGTTGGGGAGAAAACCCGACAGGTCCAGCGTATATCTAGACTCCCTTCGAACTGGGATCGCTATATAGATGAATTTGATTTGGATGGAGAAGATCAGTCTGGTGATAGCACAAGTCAATCCTCTGATGTTGTTGTGCCAAAGAGCAAAGGAGCAGACTATTCTTACCTGATAGCAGAGGCTCAATCATATTGCTATTCAGATAGCTTTCCTTCTTTAGAAGATGTTATGCCTGGTATCCCCTAGCTTCTGATCTAGCTGTGCATTTTAGTTATCTAATATCTGTTTTATACTTAAAACAGATAAGTTAGTACTGCATATTTTGTATTTGCTTAAAGGAAATGGTTAGCTGGCTATACAATTTTCCATCCATATGTTTTTGTTGAATCCTCATGAGAGAATTGCCAACTAACATGTGTGTAAAGAACTGGGATAAGATGATAAGAAGATTATTCTTTAAGCCATGAGTTGAGTTCCTGGAAAACTTGAAAGCTTTTTGAGAACTTAATTGAGGTTTAAATGTAAATGCTTGATATGAAATAATTTGGGAAATATCACAGGAGGCTTTATCGAGGGAGTTGGATCTATGCTTTCGGTTAGGGGGGAGGGCATTTTATCATGGATTGGGGAAGATAACTTTATCGTGGACAATAAAACAACTTCAGTTCAAGAGGTAATTTAGTATTGATTGTTTTAATGTTGGAAATTATAAAACTAGGTTATTCAGATGATTTTTTCCCAGTTCGTTTCACTATTATATAGAAATAAGATGTTGAATAAGGTAGTTTTATATGTATTCATCTCTATACAATATTATATAAATAAGTTATTCAGTGGCTTATTCCTTGCATAAAATTTGTTTATTTGATTTCTTATTTCTATACAATATAGAAGGAACCTGAAAAACACATATGACTAACCTTAGTTAGAAAATTAGGGCTTGTTTTTTATTTGAAAAAAAAAAAATAGGAGTTCCAAAGTTGTGCCAAGCATGGAAATTTTGTTACAACATATGCTTGTCCATTCCTTTATTGCAGTTTTTCTTACGGTGGAAGCCACTTGCAACTTTTATTATGTGTTTTTTGGTTTTCTTATTTTTCTTTTCTACCCTCTTACCTTGTGTTTTATTCCCTTGGCATTGTTATCTACGCAGGCATCATTTCTCTCCCTAAATTTGAATGCTCTTGCAGAACAGCTAGCAAAAGTAGACTTATCACAGAGGCTGTTTATTGAAGCAGATTTGCTGCCATCAGAGCTGGTATTTTTAGTGATTTACCTAATTTACTTTTTATGTTGTTGCATGTAGAGTTTTTGATGTAGGAATATGACTTGATTTCTTATTTTGTAATTCCTTATTCTAATAGTGTTAGGATTTTCTTATTTCTTGTTCTAGTAGCATTAGGATAAGTTTGGTATAGATAGGCTTGTTATCCTACAAGCACTAATCGAATGGATTTATAATAAAATTTCTCAAGTGGTTCCTTTGTGAATTGTTTCGTCATGGGTTGACAACTTCTCATGGATTTGAGATTCATTGTTCGTAGATTCGAGCCGCTGCGCTAGAGCGTATCTAGTGCCAGTCCAATTTCCGCTGCGTCAGTTTGTGACTATTTTAAGGCCAAATGGGGGCCATAGCCTTCCAGAGCTCCATCCATCACCTTTTGCCCCAGAGCTGCATGCAGTATTAAAATAAAAAGACACATTCTACGATGAATTGGCCGTGCAAACAGTGTACAGTGATTATAATTGCATAGGCTATTTGAACTATATGAGCTTTTCAATTTACCAAATTAAAGGTTCTCTAAACCTTTTAAACTTGAAATTAAGTTTTAAAAATCAAATTACACTTTTATTTATTGGATTTTTCCTCAACTTTGAGAAATTGGGATCAAATGTGTTAATGTTTAGTTTCTTTGGTTCATTAAAAGTACAGTCGCAAACTCCTTTAAAATTCTGACTTTGCCCTTACAAACACTCGTAGTCCAATAGCTTCTTTTCTATAACTATTAAAGACTATGCTGAGACAGACATGGTTTCTGTGACAGGGAGCAGAGGGATCAATGGCGAGAATCGATGATGAACATGGCCAGATTGAAACAACTCATGAAAGTGAAGCTGCTGCAGATATATCTGATGATGGAGCTTTCAATGATTTATCTGAGAAGGTTGAAGTTGCAGATACCGCATTTACTTCGTTTAGTTCTCGCACTTATCATAAAGATGCAACAATTCATAGTCGAGGGCCTGATTTGGTTAATCAAGTTAAAGATGGTTTGACTTTCAGTCATTTTGATAAATCTGCGCAGAGCAGAGTGCTGGAGTCCACAGTAAAATTTGAAGCGGCACCTGCTGAAGCAGAGTTAGATATGCTCCTTGATTCATTTATTGATTCCAAGTTTCTCGATTCCTCAGGCTACAAAGCCAATCACAACTTCACTAAGTCCCAACAAGAATGTTCTGCAGCTCCGCCACAACCTTCAGGACATCCAGTTACTGCCATTTTTGATGATGTACTCGATGATTTATTACAGGAAACATCAAATTTGATGAACCAGTCTCAGGAAGTAAAGGTTTTTCCTCATGATACTCGATCTTCTTCTCACTCTGTTACAAATTCTAAACTGCCGCAACTTTCACGGAATCCAGTTACTACCAGTTTTGATGATGTACTTGATGATTTATTGCAGGAGTCGTCAACTATGATGAGCCATTCGCATGATGTAAAGGTTGTTACTGATGATACTCAATCTTCTTCTTACTCTGTTACAAAGTCTAAAGTGTTGGATGATTTTGATTCATGGTTAGATACAATTTGAACGGTGTTTTTACTTTTTAGTTCAAATTCTTCACTCATGTACCATAATTAAGTGAGATGGGAACATTTGATGGGCTTGTGTTTATTCTTCTTTACAAATTATCACCGGGAACATCGGACAGATCGCCTATCTTATAAAGGTTTGTCAACTGAGATCCGATCAAGAGTTGATTCACCATTCTGTCACTCCCACCTTTTGGTTTCAACGAGAAAATTTTGAATAAGCAAGATATCAGTGCATACAGAAACTAAAGCGACTAGTTTTGTTGAATTAATTGAAAAAAAAAAAGATTTTTTTGATTAAGATAAACAAGTTACAAAGAACAGGATATCTATTGTTTTAAACATTGGAGCTCCAAAGTAAAAAATTAATTTGTACTTCATTGGCTCACTGAACAGTTGGGTTTATTTGCTTGGAATGGTGGATTGATCCTGATTCCTGATCTTGATGTTTTTTTTTTGGATCGAGGGCAAGTTGTCCTGGTTAGTTTGTGCGTACCTTGATTATCCTTTCTTGGTACATTGAATGTCTTACAAACACAATGTTCCTTGATCTTGATGTTTTTTTTTTTTTTTTTGGATCGAGGGCGAGTTGTCTTGGTTAATTTGTGCGTATCTTGATTATCTTTTTTAGGGTCTATTGAATGTCTTACAAACACAATGTTCTAAAGCAAGTCATAAATGTCAATATGTGACTTGATGTTAATATGTGGCTTGATGTTGATGAAATTTGTATATATATACCTATATGCATACACTGCATGATTGCAAGTGTGTTCATTAATGTATGAATAAAACAAAATCATAATTTAATTATAGAAGAAAGAAAGAATTTTTACCAACCCAGGGCTGACGGTAAAAGTAAAGACAAACTATTCTGGCCAGAAATATTAACAAAATAATTATTTTTTAGTCTTAGACGAAGAAGGGTGTGACAATTAGGGGTGTTCAAAAGAATCGGTTGGAACCGGAATCGGCGGGTACCCTGGGTTTGTTCCGGTTTCTACTCAGAACCAATCGTCAATGGGTACGTTCTGGTTCCAAATTTTTGAACCGTTACTGTGCGGTTTCGGTTTCGGTTCCTATAGTTAGGAATCAGAACCGAAACTAGAAACCAGGAACCGAGACTAATATAAAATAAAATTAAATATTTGGAGGGTTAATAAAAATTTTTGTAGAAAAAGTAATGTGAATACATTTATATTTATATTTCATAACATTTAAAGTAAGTTGGTTTGACTTTTGAAAATCTACCTTTACAAAGTAATGGAGTTTGTAATTTTGAATTTTATTTTTGTTAACAAGTGTCAGGTGGGGGGGTATTTGTAAGCTTTTAAGGGTTTTTTTATCATTTTAAAAACTTTTGGGGGGTCATGAATTTTACAGGGTACCCAGAACCGGAACCGGAACCATTGTTACAGGTTTTGGTACTGGGTACCTAGAAACCGGAACCGTCGGTTCTGGTTCTAGTTCCAAATTTCAAGGAACCGTCGGTTCCGGTTCCGGTTCCTTCAAAAAGTGCAGGGTACCCAGAACCGAACACCCCTAGTGACAATGGTAATGGTGATGGTGGTGAGAGCGGCCAAGAATCAACCAACTCTGAACTGAAATCAACAATTGTTTCTAGTTGGAGAGCTTTAGCGACTATAATTTCATCTTTGGTGAATAAATCTTTGAAACAACAGGTACATTTACTATTTTCACTCTTTCCCAATTCCATCTTGTTTAATTTTCTCATTTGATAAAATAACAGCTTCACTTACACTAGGATCTGTATCAAGAAATAGAAAAAAAAATAGTCCAGGAGAACTTCATTGAAAGATGCAAGACCAAAGATGAAGAGAACAAACCTGTAAACAAGGTTAGCAAAGCCAACAATGATCCTAGAGGCAAAGATGGCGTATCTAGCTTTAAGTGACTCTGGACCTCTAGTGCATTTATTTTTATGATCCATGGTCGGAAACAGCTAGATTTGACTGTTTCACTACCACATCTTTGCTCTGGTTCTAAGCCTTTGTTCTTTTTCTCTTAATTTATCCAACAGAGAATTTTTTTGCTTCGGCTTGTTCCTTTACTTCCATTTACCATTTTAAATTATCTCCTCTCAGTGACAGTCCCGTTCATATTGGCAAGTACATGCTGGCTTCTTGGTTGGGAATGATGGTAATACAGCAATCCACTTTTTTCACCATTAGGGATTAGTTTATAAGCTTCCAGTTTTATGCTATATTAACTTTGTGGTAATTTAGATGTAAATGTTTCATTCAGTTACATACTTTGAGCTTTCTTTATTTGATCACTCATTAAGGAGGTTGTAATATTGATTATTGAAAACCGATCTCCTGATTTCGTTGGTTGTAATATTGATTGTTGACAACAGATCTCCTGATTTCTTTCTTGTGACAGCCAAGTACATTTGCTTTGGTGTATGTTGGAACAACTTTGAAGGATCTTTCCGATGTCACGCATGGATGGAATGAAATTTCGACCACTCGTTGGGTTAGCATAATACCCTCTTACTTTGATTATTTTTAAAGCTATGAAGATCCTAACTATTTTAACATTAATCTTTCTGACAATAATTTAACCGTAGTGCAAACAAACTGACTAACTTATTGATTTCAGATCGTATAGTAATTTTCTTAAGCTATGCAGTTGGGTTTCTGATTGCATATGGGATTACTATCTTCATTGTAAGTCTGTTGTTTAATATGCTACATTTGCGTGTGGACGCAGGTACTTATGGCACTGGGCTTGATGATATTTGGTGAGTCCTCATCGACCCTTCATTATATTAGTTCTCTTCCTATTTGTGTCTTTAAACCATATTGTTCATAATAAGAACCGGCATGAACAAATTGAATTTGATTTAACTTTTGTAACTAAAACTTAATCAGGTGAATTACTGAAATTATTCTTCTTTGTTGTGGTTGGACATAGTCGTTGATGCTTGATTTTAACACCAACGATCTCGCACGTGCAAAATGCTAAGACAGTCTTAGAAATTACACATGAAATGATTAAAGGTCACTACTTTCACAGTAGTATGCAAAGACTTAAAAATAAATGAGACAATGAGAATTTTTATAATGGTTCAGATGCTTAAAGTAATTCCTACATCTACTGTTTTCTTTTATATGAGTGTTCTTGGTGATTAGCCAAGTTTACAAGAGGTCGCTAATATCGAACAAAATTACAAGAGCTTGTTATTCAGAGTGAATATTAAGCCAATCTCTTTCTCGTGGGTTGTCTTTTGCTATTTACTTTGTTGAATTTAGAGAGCCTGATCCTCTCTATTTTGTGAGAGGGAGTTCTCAATTTATAGCCGCCGAGTTCAAGGTAATGATTACAAGTTTGCAAGTGGGTAGGTGTCGTGCAAGTCCTTCTTTGCATCCCATTGGTTGATAACTTAGGAGATATCCTTAAATTATATGGGGTTTGGACAGGTGTGCGGACTGGGTTGGTGACAACTATATTCTTTCTGTCTTGGAGCGACGTGGCAGATTCTGGGTGGCGCAAAGCCTTCCTGAACTCTCATTGGGGCTTGCTGATATAAGCTTACGTTAGCCTTGGTTTTTAGGCATAATAGAAGCTCCCCAATTCTCGAGATTCAAGAATTGGATCTTGAGAACTTCATAATTATGCCGCGACCTGACTTGACTTCAAAAATGTTTGCTCGAGCTGAGAGCTGAGAGACAATCACATCATTGCAAACGATCTAAAGTTGATTGCTTGATCTGATTTCTGAAATTCTGTCTTGACTTGCGAACTAAATGTAAGTCGTGAGCTATGACTTGAGAGTATCACAGGTGACCTGACGTGATTGTTTGTTGAGATCTACCGACCTGAGCTTGATCTTGTCTTCAGTCATCGGGAGATGTTTTAAACTCTAACTGTCATTCACGACCTAAAAACACTTAGAATATTTCATGGTTGAAAATTCTAAACCATATTGTTTGGTGTTCGTGTTTGACATGTTAAATAAATGTCTTTTTTGAACGACCTCTTTAAATGTTATCTGTTTCACTTGACAACTGGCTTAGTCAATAAAGTAATTTTTATCTGACAGATGTGTCGTTGTGCGTAATAAGTGTTAGCCATGAGCATTAAATGCAAGCCATGGTGAAACGACATTCCCTTTTGGTGCATTAAATGCAAATAAGGGCGCATTAAATGCAGAAGAGATAATCACATTGGCGATTGACGTTCTTGATAAACGTCAGTTGATTTCTGCAAGGCGTGAGAGTTACTCTTCCCATGGATCGATGACACGTGGTCGCGATCTACGACTAAGAATGAATTCCTGCCCAAACGTTGCTTATAAAGAAGTTGTAGCGTCGTCTTCTTCACTATAAAACCCTAACTTTTCAAAAAACTCAAAATTTTCAGAGAGAAAACAACATTTTCTTACTCCAAAAAATTTGTTCTTCCTTCACTAGTTCATGTGAACCCAGTGCTACAATAGAGCATCCATTTCAGGCAACCAAGAGGTAAAAAAGTTTCTTCCTTTTTCTCTTTTTCACATTTCTACAAATTTTTTTTTTCTTTTTACAGTCATGGTGGTTATGGGTATCTGGTAGGTCTTAGGAAATGAGCACTTCTAGGTAGTGTTTGAAAGAAACATTTGAAGGCTTAAAACTTAGGGTGAAGAGTCATAGAGGACTACTTTTAGGAGCTTTTAGGGTTTAGAAGCTTGACGGCCATGGTAGAAACCATAGAGATATCGTCCACTTCGTCTGAGTCGTCATATGAGGTAGATTTTTCAGGGTTTGAGTCTCCCCTAACTGTCATACCTTTATAGACTCTAGAGCCAATGGAGATCCCTGAAACAAAAATAGTCGGCGAAGAAAGCAAAGCTCACACCCACTAGGCACCTCTGCAGGTCCTAGGAAGGTGATAAGGTCGACTGCCATAATGGAAGAAATCAAAAAGGCGTTGGACCAATATGCGATCGAAGTAGACGTGTATCGAAAGAGGTCGTACACTGCCCAAGATCCTCTCGAGGGAATGGTTGCGATCTCGCACCATTCTAACTGACGTCGAACGCATATATGATAGTTATCGCTATGTATATATTGTTCTGTGAGCACAAACTCGAGGAGCCAATGACACTAGAGTTCGCTTGCGCCTATATCTTGAAGAAGAGTAA